CCTTTAGCTAATTTAACTTATATTTAGCTTTATTTAACTTTAATTATTTTTTTAATAGCTTTTAATTATAAATTTATAATTTTATTAATTATAAATTTAATTATTTATTTAGCTATTTTATAATTATAATTAATTTATAGTTATTATTTTTATAAATAAAAAAAAGTAATTAAGTTATTTAATTTCGTTTAGTTATTTAAAGCGTAAAATTTATTTTTAAAGATTATTATTATCTTTTATAATTTAATAAATTAATTAACCTTTTTATATTAATTAAATTATTAAACTATAATTTAAAATTTATTATATTATATTTAAACTTTATTATTTAGGCTTTTTTATATATTTTAAGCTTAATTTTAAACTTTAATAAACAGCTATACTTTTTATACTTTTATTAATAATATAGCTTAAATCTTTAAAGTTTAATTTAATTAATTATTATTAATTAAATTAAGCTATAAATTAATTTTAGATTTTAAACTAAAAGTTAAAATATAGCTTTTTATTAAACTAATTATTATAATATTAAACTTTTTATTTTAATATTAAATTTAACTTTTATATATTTTATATATTTTATTCATTTTTAATATTTTTTATATTATTAATTATTAATTTTAATTATTCTTTAATTATATTTTATAAATATTTTAATTTAATTTTATAAATATAATTTATTTTTAATTTTTAATTTAAAACTTTAATAATATATATATAAATATATTTTTTATTTTATTTAATTAACTTTATTTAAAAATTATATAAATATAATAATATATTTTAAAAAAAAAAATTTATTTAATAATAATAAAATTATTTTTATTTTTTTTATTAATAATTTTTAAAATAAATATTAAATTATTTTAAAAATTTTTATAAATTTATAAACTTTTTTAAATTATTTATTTTAATTAATTTTATTATAATTTAAAATAATCTTTAATAATTTTATTAAATTAATATTTAATATAATAAATTTTTATTTTTTTTTAAATTTATTTAAAAATTTTAAAAAATATTTAAAATATATATAAATTATTATAAATTTTTTTTTAAAGTTTTTAAAGTTTTTTTTTTAAATTTTTAAAATATTTTAATTTTATAATTTTATTTATTTTATTTTTATAATGTTTTTATTTTTATAATTATTAATAATATTTTATTATTTTTTAATAATTTTTTTAATTTTTTTTATTATTATTATAAATTAAAAAATAATTAATTTTAAAAATATATTATTTTTATTATTTTTATTAAATTAATTTTAAATTTTAATAATATTATTTAAATATTTACTTTAAGTTTTACTTTTATAATTAATTTTAATATTTTAAATATTTTAAATTAATTTTTACTTTTATAATTAATTTTTACTTTTATAATTAATTTTTACTTTTATAATTAATTTTAATATTTTAAATATTATAAATTAATTTTTAACTTTTTATTAATTATTATTTAAAAGTTTAAAATAATTATTTAAATAAAAATTATAAATATATAATAAATTATAAATTTATAAATTAATATAAATTATATTTTTTAAAAAATAATCTTTAATTTAAATTTATATTAATAAATAAATTAAATTAAATATTTAAATAATTTAAATAATTATATAATTAATAAATAAAAATATTAAATAAATTTAATTTAAATATTATATTTATAATTAATTAATTAAACTATTTAATTAAATATAAAAATATTATTTATATATTTTTTTATTAATTTAAAATAATAATTATTATATAATATATTTTTATAAAAGTAATTATAAAAATAGATTATTTTTATATTAAATAATTATTAATTAATAATTTATTTATTTTTTAATTTCACAGTATATATTTAATTATATTTAATATAAAGTATTAAGTTATAATAATAGTTAATTTATTATTATTAATATATTTTTTTAATTTTTTAAATTAAAATTAATTAAATATAAAATTATTTATTTTTAATAATAATTAAATTAATAAATTAACGTTATTTTTAATAATTTTACTATAAATTTAATTAATTTAATAAATTAAAAAGCTTAAAGTAATAAATATCTTTTAAAAAAATTAATTAATTAAAGCTTTTAAAATTAAAATAATAACTTTAGTAATTTCGTTAGTTTTATTTTAATTAGCTATTTTATTGTTGTTTTTCTATATTTAATTATAATAGTAATAACTTTAAAAGCCCATCAAAATAGGTAGCGTTAGCTCCGTTAGGCTGCTATTTTCGATACCTAATGCTCGCTAGGTTGCTAGGCCTAGACTACATAGCTAGGTTGGCTATAACCCCTGCTGGCCAGATGGACATAAGTTTTGATAGCTGCCTCCGTACAACTCCAGATTACCGTAGAAAAATCCGCCCGTGATTCTCCCCAGCCGTCTCTACGTCACCGCTCTCGTCTAATCCGTCCCCCCGTCCAAAAATACGAGCATGGACTAGATCATGGTGCAGCCACATCGCGACTAATAGGAATCTCACAAGGCCATGTACCCATCTCGGACAATTCCCCTTGCCATCCGAATTTGCTGTCATATTAGTTATCCACTCTGCTACCATCATTACAGGAACCCAAATGGCAAGGAAGATCTTCGCTCCGACGAGCCGCCACGCGGATTTCGGAGGCCGATACGTGGGTATAGTGTCCAGAAATGACCGATACGACGCTGGGAGGTGCGCTTCTTCTGCTCCTTGAACCACAATATCCTGCTCCCCACAGCTCGAGATTAGCTTTTCGGTAGCCGCATTGAGAAAAAAAAAAAAAAAATGGAGGGCTGGCTTTCAGGACTCACCTTGTACCGCTGACTGGGACACCGAGGGATTGTCTCTGCGTATCCCCTCGTCAAAGTCATTACCACTAGGGACTGGGGAATATGAGATTCTTTCTCTGCACCTGAAGAGATCCGTTCAGCTCGTACGGCGATCTCTTCATACGCTGTGCCACCACCTTCGGAGGCAATGATGGAATAGTATGCCTTCCTGTCAACTAGGTATGCGGTGCCATGGACATCAGGCAGAGCAACACCATTGCTGTTCTTGCCAGTTGAAGCAACGGCAACAGAAATTGATAAGAAAGCTGGCTCTTGGTATGGAACGCCGTAAATATCGAAGGTGAGGGACCAGCCAGGGAGGCGGACAGGGATGGCCTCAAGCGGCTGGATACCTCGATGAGCACGGAATATCTCCGAGGATAGATTAGAGCCATAAGCAAAGTACCAAACATGGTCTTGAGGCTTGGGCGAGCGATTAAGATTATTGGACAGCGACATGATCGATGTGGAGAAATTGTCGCATTCAGATCCTGTGTTGCGTGCATCTTTTAGTAGCCTGTTGTTCAATATTCCGTCGGCTACCGATCGGTGGCCGAACATCTTGGCCGCACTCACCCAGTGAAGAAAATTACACGGTATACATTGTTGAATCCGTCATATTGTGAAAACTCTCTCAAAGAATTACGGAATATTGAAACTACCTGGATCATGGATTGGTGGCTACCAGGGAAGATGCAATGTAGACGCAGAGGGTTGTTTTAGACTTCCCGAGACTTTGATAATGCTAGCAGTGTCAATAGTACGTTTGATCCACAGTTCAAAGAAATAGCAATAATGCTAAGAAAATGATAAAATATGTCTTCAAACAGTTTGATAAACGGCATCTTCAATCATATACTCCATCCATTGGCCCGAGGTACATCTGGCCGCATCTCAATTGCACAAGGCCATGCATTGCGTAAAGGGATGATACGCACAATGCTCCACCCTGACTGCTCAGCAAGATTTCGCCAGTCACCCTCTGTTCGTTTCAGTCCATTCGCCGTTATCATCATGTTCATGTCCGCGTACCGAGAGAGGCGTGCCGATCGGCCATTTGCCAAAAGAGACTCCAGCACGACAAGCCGGCTCTTGGGCCCCGGAATGATTGACTGCCGGATAAGGCGCAATATTGTAACTGCTTCGGGCTCTTTCCAGTCATGCAGTGTCCATTTCATTGTATACACTGTAGCAGGAGGAATAGCTTTGAAGAAATCACCAGCAATAAGATTTTCACGCGGGACGCGGTCGGCCAGGTCCGCGAACTGGCCGTCAGGCGAGTGAAAGAAGGGAGTAACATGGTCGATAACATGCAGGAGATCGAAGATTCCACCGCGCATGGTCGAGTGTGCACGCAATAATAGAGCAATAAGTGCGGCGCCTCCTCCGCCGATATCGATTATTGTCTCGTCTGCCACTTCAGCCCATGGGTAGTCAGCTAGAATACCTGGTGCTTGGGCTGTTGCGCCGCCGCCCAGCGTGCGGTGTAGCTGAGCCGTCCAATTTTGCTTGAGGAAATAAGAGAACATCCCGTCGTCGGTATCATAGTTGACCTGAGCCGGGCAACGAGCGACACCCTTCTGTAAAGACTTGGGGATCCCACGTGCCATGTCATAGAATTGGTTGCCATAGAGGTCAACCCAGTTATGCCACTGCGTCCAGTGATCATGCAGCAGGAGAGTGGCTGTATGATTGTTCTCATATGTTGCCGTGCTTTGGTTATAGGTAAAGATGGCATTGTTCGAGAGAACCCTCATGACCTGGCCCAGACGGTCTGCCTGTGCCTCGCCAGCAGACGCCAATTCCTCGACAGTCCGTGGCCCTTGATCTAGAAGGATGTCTGCAATCCGCAGATCGACTGCCGCACACAAACACTTAGCATGAACATATCCTATTTATGTCAGCTATGTCTCATTTATTTAAAGAAGCATAAACATACCTAGAAAATGATTAGCGAGGACGAGATGGCCCGGTTCCAACATTTGCTCTATAGAATGAAGGAGATCAATCGACTCAGTGGCTAGATGGCCTAGCTCTTTGTCCGGAAGTACCCCTTCCTCATGGTTGTGAAGTCGTTTCTGAAGCTCATCATACAATTTCCCTTGCAGAAGGCCCTGCACACTGCGTAGATTGCTATTTAATTCTTGGAGTAGGGAATCCATGGTTGGCTTTTTGAAGATTGTAGACGTGGAAACTTTCGAATGGGGGCTCACACGGCGCAGCTGGGACAGATATTAAAGACAAACCTCTACCCGCTTGGCCGCCGAGTTGAAGAACCGAGTATGAGAACCGATTCGTACGTCTTGCTGATCGCAGGGAGACACTAATCATGACTGTCACCAGAATAAAATACCTCTGAAAGAAATGGTAATATAAATGGATGATGATTTAGCCTAGCATTTTAATAATGATTGACACGAAGTATCAAATAACGGTGCTGCTTGACTGCAGCATGCCGAAGAATAGATAGGATTATGAAAGTACATCCGATACGCGCTACGTCAGGTGAGTTGCCGGTGGTCGTACGCCCAACGCCACTGCCAACATTCCAAGTGCCTTTAATAACACATTAGGCTCGACCGCAAAAGTGTTGCGAGCCCAACCTTTTTCCGCCTCCAAACGGTGATAACTTCGCCCAGCACTGATGAGGACTCCATACTCCTTACATGTCTGAACAAGGGCGGCCTCATCATTCCAGGTAAGCGCTTGCTTGCATAGTTTCACAAAAACAAAAATACCAGCATTGAACGGAATGTAATGGAACTCGTTCATCCGGAGCCAAGAGGTAAGAAGACTATAGGAAATTGACAGTCGTTTCTGGTTTAATTGGATCAGGGCACTAATCTGGTTGGAGGCTAAAAGGCTCCTGGCAAATATGGCGGCGAGAGAGGATGTCTGTGTGTTGGAGGCCAGAGAAAGCCCGACGATGATTTCTGGATTATATTGAGAAATTGTACAACCCTAAATAATGTCAGCGTCAGCCGGGTTATCTGTTTTATCCTTTCTTCTGTTAAATAATAATGTGACTAACCAAGCGAATTCCGCTGGAGCCAAAGTCTTTGCTGATACTCCATATAACGTGAACGCGACTCGGGGAGCATCCCACTGCCGCTAAATCTATGGATAACACAGAAACAAAAGGCGGGAGGTCCTTTGAATCCGGCGATTCGAACGTGCTCAGTGCATAGACCTCGTCAGAGATGTAGTGAATGTTGTGTTGTTCGCAGAATCTTAGACACTCCTCCAGCACCTCGCGTGGGTAACACTGGCCAAAAGGATTGTTCGGATTCGCCATAACGAGCGCGAATTGGGTATTTAGATTCGTCAATGGCCTTTTTAAGACCCTGCAGGAGTTCGGATGAGAGTGCTGTGCCAAAGCTGCTACAGTTCACTGGCACTGGAGTGACTGATGCCCTCACCCGGAATTGGAAGTTGAATCCGTCTGTAATTGATCAATCTAGTCAGTAAATATCGTCATGATGTTAAAGATACATAGCACTTACTCCAATATGGCGTGGGGACTAGTACTCCATCACCAACGTCGCAGATTGTATCGAGCAACGCGTCCAAACAACTAGCTGCGCCAGGCGCGGTGGCGATTTGTGACATATCGACTGGTTGATATAGTTGAAACTGATTGTTGATGAAGCTAGCCAGCGCCTGCATCATTGTAGGGTCACCAGAGAAGCCATTGGGATAGGAGAAATACTGCACACCCCTTTAGTTAGAAGAAAGTAAGAAGTACACAGAGTATAGAGCAGACCTTGGTTGTCATGAGTTGAAAAATAGCCTCTTTGCAAATATCAATCAACTCGGCTCTTAGAAGCCAGTTTTCTGCTGTTGATAGGTCAATATTAGGATGGTCAACTTGAGTGCGGTCGGCGACAGCAGCCCTGATCTTGGGCATGATGTCTTGTTCGACCTCTGGGACAGGCCGATACATCCATGTTGATCATTTAGGGAAGCCATCTTGGAAATATAAACTAGATAATATTTAATAATGTTGTACATTCACGCGGCGTATGTAACTTTATATCACCTTCTATGTTTTTATTTTTTTTTTTGAAACCAGAGTGATATGGAGCCCGAGATCGGCCTTCGGCGTCTGCTCGGCTCGGCGAATTCCATCTTATATCAAAAGGTAAAAAAAAAAAAGCATCTTTGGAAAGATTATACGCGTTTATGAGGGATTGAGATTATATACTGATTCTATATAGTCCGTAGATGTTATCCAAGTAATAGCGAACTTTTGGTAGATTCACGCCCACTCATTGTTTAAGTCTTTCGCATCGCAAGAGAAAGTCCGGATGCGTGATCCAAGTCTGCTTATCTCGAACCCAGTCATCTGTGGTCAAACTTAGCTGGAAGTTTTGCACCAGATAGGCCAAGGTAACTCGGAGGATGCTATCCGCTACATATTTCCCCATACACCTAGAGGGATTAGCATCTACCTGCTCTTTAATCAGAGCTTTGACTTACTGGCGCGGCCCAAACCCAAATCTCCAGAATAGATAGCGCAGCTCCATATTCTTTCTACCCCAAAATCGATCTGGTCGAAAAGTTTCATTGTCAGGCGCCCAATACGAGTTCCGTACATTGAGTGCATACGCATCCACGATGAAGTTAATCGAGGCGGGGATAATGTATCCATCCAAAACACGGGGCGTTGGGGCTGATTGTGGTACCGAAAATGCGGCCAGTGGTCTAAGACGACTTGACTCTAGGATACATGCCTGGAGGTATGTAGACGGACTTTGAAGGTATTTGTGCAGAGCGGCTTGGTCCGGAAGATTCTGTATTTCTTGCCGTGATTTTTGTTGACATTTGGGATATACAGCTAGAAAAACGGGATTCCAGGCAAGTCCGCCGGTAGTAACGTCTAGATTGGCCAAAAGTGTCTCGTCAAGAGTTTGTAAGAGTTGGTCGTCGGAGATAGTTCCACGGTGGACAGCATCAAACATGTCTACTATGGGAGAATTGGACCCATGACTGCGAGCATATTCCTCGGCGGTCCGGTTGAAGAGCAGCCAGCGGTCCTTAAACTCTCTTAGCCGACGGTTGGCAGCTGTGGGAAGCAGCCGGGAGAAGGAGAACCGCGAGATTCCTCCTTTGATCACATCTCTCATTTGTTCCTCCCTGCATTCCGTCAAATTCTTCAACGCCTCTGTCATTTGAACCGGCAGTCTTCCGTATAAGAAGTAACACACCATCCAGAAAGGAAGCATTTTGAGATCTTGCGTAGGATGGAGCATTCCTCTACTAAGATCGCCTTCGAGCTCAAGCTTGTTGAAGCAATCGCGTACAAACTCCTCGATGACTCCAGTGTTCGCAATGGAAGTCTGGTGACGAAAAGGTACTTCGGTGATGGCGCGAACTCCCTGCCATTGTGGTGGACTTATTAAACCGACGCATTGGCCAAGTAACTGGCCCATGAAGTATCCAGAGTCATTGTTAATGGCCTTTCTGTGCTTATCTGAGTCATAAAATACTATTTGGAGTTGCTCTGGCCGGGTGAGGACGCTATCTGCTGGTTAACATTCATACGCTTCGGAGGTTTCCAGGCTTGACGACAAAGTACATTTCGGGGCTCATGCCGCTCCAGATACGGTAGAGAGGGCCATATGATTTGGACCACTCTACACTATTCTGGATACCATCCAAGAATTTTGCACCATCACCTTGTCCATTTGGCCAGCGGCAGGGACAGGCTGGCAGGGTGTTGCTACCGTTCACGCTTTTGATGGGATATTGCCATAGGAGGAATTTCTAACCTTGTATTAGCTGCTTGATGGCTTTCAATCTTATTTACATTATAAACTCACATTGAGAACAGCTGACAATATGTCCAACACCGGCTGAGGGAGAAGACCAGGGAGAATAGCCTCCACAAGTGCGACACCCAAACTTCTGTATTGAGGGCCAGGTTGCTCCAAATTTGAATCAAAAAATTCGTATTCGGCGGCGACTTCAATATCTTCTATTATATCTTTAGAGCATTAAAGGCACAGCCCAGATGTGCGTTTCTCTCTATACTACCTGCAGGTAGGGTGGAATGCACAGAAAATTGAGTTGGTGAAGATAACAAATTTTACAACGCAGCATTACTTTGAATTTATTTTTAGGCAAATTTAAGTAATTATAGGTAAGCAGCATATGTTTGAGTTATTGTGGTCATGATACTCTGCCTTGTTTGTACGATAAATACCATATTACATAGCTAGAGATGAGCATCCATGTCTTGATATGGATTATATCTACATTCGCAATATGCGTGCGGATTTCCCTCTTTCTCCCCATCACCTCTATTCTATTTCTCTCTTTCTTACTTGTAGTGAGTTGAGTGTTTATTAAAAGCCTCGACTTACGTTAGCAATCAGAATTCTGATATGGGTACTACTGGACTCCGGTGTCTGAAGAACCGGAGTAATATATATAGCTATATACGAAAACACAGACTTCTCTTGAAAATGCACAAATAAATAAATAAAAATAACGATATCAAGGTGTGTAATTCACTCTGACGTCATATCTGCTTTACATGTTTACACCTTCCTACATTCCAACACAGCCTCCGGCTCTGGCCCGCCATATATCTTCACAATCTCCAACCCCACAGACGCCAACAGCTCTTTCCACTGTTTTTCACTCCGCACTTTACCTCCGAAGGTCAACATGGAGTGGTCTCCCATTGCCTGCGAAAAAGAAGCATTTCTCATTGGCAGGACCTACAATATTTTGCATATTAGCCTCTAAAGCATCGCCTTGTATGGGCAAAATAGGGCCATACCGCGTCCATTATCAGAAGAATAGACCAGTCTCGGTCCATAGCCGAAACGGTATGTTTAAGAATTATGCGGCACTTATCATCAGCCCAGTCGTGGAGAATTCGTTTCATATGGTACACTCGGGCTCCTAAACAGCTATAATCAGCTTAGCCTGTATTCATGATATAAAAAAGAAAAATAAAAAAAAAACTTATGACTAACCCTTGACAGGTTGCTCGGTAAGAATATCATGAGCCATTAGCTCGATTCCATCCGGCTTCGTAGCCATTGAATCAAAAGTTTCCACTCGATTCTGTACGATCATACGACCATTGATCCCTGGGCAAGAAGCTTTAATCTCTTGCAACAGCTCCCCCTGGCTTCCACCAATATCCACAATCCCAACTGATATCTCATCACTTTCTCGCGATGCAGACAACTTCTGGTCATACGGATACACCGACGAAGATAGATGTGTCGATCGAACTTGAGCCTTCATAGAAGAAATGAACATAGATTGTATTGCAGGGTGGTCCCGCAAGTAATCAAAGAAACCGTAGTCTGGCTTCTTGAAATAGCCCGATAACGGAGTATTCAAGCCTTCGTGCATGCAGGGTTCGTGGTATCCGTTGTTTCTGAAAAAGGTGGGATTTGATAGAACGATTAGCATGAATTCGATTCTGTTCATAAAAGCATATTTAGTATCATTTCAGGTCAATATTAACTCATGATCTGTATTATTAAACATACGCAAATGTGATAGCATCATCGTATGCTGGTAATCCAACCGCACCCCCACGACTGGTGAGTTTATATAATTCATCATCCACCTCGGTGAGCAGTCCTTCTGCTAGAGGACGCAGAATTCTCACTGATCTATGTTACCAAATTAGTTCTACTCCGATTGGCTATTGGATAATACATACCAATTAGGGATTCTTCTGCTCCTGAGATAGTGGCCAGTTCATTCGCGGTGGCGCTGCCATGATCCATGAGGTACCGGAAAACACCCATGTCCTGGGCTACTTTAATAGGTGAGAGAATAGAGCACTACTATAGGGTAAAAGAATGAATTCAGATAACCTGAATGTTGGTGAAAACTAACCCTTCGAACAAGCTCCCAAAATGCGGCATTGGGATCTTGACCAACCAACATGAGCTTCCGTGAATATGTTTGTAATTGAGCCAGGGCATTTTTCCTCGACTGCTCATGGTGGGAATCATGGCTTGAGGCCTCAAATTGATTTCTCAGTGCATATATGTGGTCGATAAGCTCAACAGTTTCTTCGTCCTGGCTTTTGGTTTGTGTCATCGTTACCAAGTCTCTTAATTTTAAGATAAAGAGACGTTGATGTATTGATCTATTGCATAAATCTAGAGCAACTTCATGAAGTACATTAACTATATTGTACATGATCCCGCTTGATCTGTTATCTAGTCTAACAGATTATCTGGTTTCGGGGCCCGACATAATATCTAGACCGTTGAAACGCTATTTCGGGAGCCGAATCGACGGGTCACAGAGAGGGCCCAGTAATAGCAAATGAATAGTGCATGAATTCGATGTTATGGAACATTTCATTAGAACTTTTCAGTAATTTAATATTAGTCAAAAGGCAATTTTGCATATAGAGCTTACATTTTATTCTTTGTATTGATTCTATAATGCAGGAAGGATAGACGAAGCAAAAATCAGTCAATAATAGTCGTTATATATGCAAATCTATAATCACCTCATTTCTTTTGTACATTTTCACACAATGTCTGCAGCCTATTTTGAATAGTTCTAAGCCAATCTGAATAAACAACGCCCAGATTCCCCCGGTCTTCATGAACCAATTTTAGCCGTTCAAGGAGTTTCTCGGCCGTTCGGCCGCATCGTTGCAGTTCTCGCAAAAGAATCTGGCACTGGATTGAAAGATGTTCCTCCGGATCCACGTGAAAATTCCCAAATTGTATGGTGGGCATTCGTTTTTGGGGATACTCGTGGCGTTTGCTGGGAGAGAGGAGATAGTCGGAGGCTCCTTCAAACAACGTCACAACGTGGTTAATGGCGAGACAGCTCAGTCCCAGTAAGCTCATACTGGGGCTGGTCTCCTCGTACTCTAGTATTTCCAATATACTCACAACACAGTGTTTGTTCACCCGCATGACCTCATCTGCTGCCACCAGCCGGCTGTGGATGTGTTGCTCTAAATTGTGGACCAATGCTACGCAGTCGACCATTCGTTGGCTAGCAAGCTGTCGATATGGAGCTAGCTTCCCCACGCCCGCGTTATCTGGGGATGGGAAATAGAATCCTGACCAGTCGGTCTTGGAAGCCAAGTCTAGCGACTTGTCTGGACCAAGAGGGGGCGAAGGTTGTGGTAACACCATGGCAGATGGCAGGTGTGAAGGATTGCCTACTCGATCTACATCGGAGAGCATTGGATCGAGCGGCGTTTCAACACACTGGAAGTCATCGAGACTACCAAAGAGCGCGCAATCATCAATATCCTTAGGGGCCTTGGAATAAACTCCATGGCTCACACAGCTTAGTTCCGCGAACAGCCCGTCTTCGAGCTCGATAGTTGGTCTTTCTCCATCCATCAACCCCTGAGATGGAGTACTACCGGCTCCTGATCTAGAGGAATCCCCTCTGTTATCTCCCGTCATATCCAGAGAGCTTGGACTGGGCGAAATGGGATGTTTTTGGGCCGATGCCGACCCGCCCCTCAGTCGTCGGGCCCGATTCCCCTGCACTTTGCCTACTCGAGACTCGGAGTAGACGCAGGAATAACCGAGACTCGAGCACCGAGCACATCCGGTTTTTTCCCCACTACAACGGACCTAAGAACCGACGCAGTTGTTAATATAGCAGTTACACCAAGGGTTTAGGGCAATGGTGACAAATTCTGGGAAATTGCATCACCTACCTTGGAGAGATGGCATTGGTTGCAAGCTGCTCGGAGCTTTATTGGTGCCGTGGGCTTGCCCCCGGGATTAATGCTAAGGATAGTGCATTAGAATCCTTTGATATATAGTTCATGCCTCGTGTCTCGTGTCGGGTCCTTCGGGTCCTACATACACTTGCATTGGATTTCTCGGAGTCGGAGTCAGAAACGCAAAACTGGTGAAAGAGCGAAAAAGCGAGAGAGCAAGACAGAAGACACTAGAGAGCCATAGGAAGAAGAGTGATAAGGTCGAGATATGAAGCAAAGCCGCGGGCCATCAATAAGCTGCCAATGGTACACTGATCCTCCAAGAAGCAAAAAGGTATGAAAATTTCAGCGAAATAACAAGTAACTATACGGTAACATCCCGTTCACCTATAGGATTTCAGATCTGGAGATCTCTTATTAATACGAACATCGAGCGGCGTATTCCATAAGGTGGGGGAGCATCCGGCTTACCCTGTCCTGCAAATATTGTGGTGTCAGCCTAAAACTAAGCTATGAAACAATATTTATTATATTAACATGTGGTAAAATAATTAAATTAAAAATATTATATTGGATATGTATAATTATATTATAATAACATAAAAATAAAAATAAAATATTCATTATTTTTATGTCAGTTATATCTCAAATATGTAGTACTATTTTAATGTTACTACCATATGTTTATAAATCAATAATTCATGACGCACTATGTACATAAAATTCGTTTAGTAATATATAAAATACCGCGCTGCTCAGAGATCTTTCTTTATTTCCAGACAACCTTGTTACTGTCATTTATCCCGCAAATTGCAAACAAGATAAGAACACACAGTGACAATGTTCCTCGGCTAGAATGTAGAAGAGGCTCCACTACTTTTTAACCGAGCCTCCAATCTTGTTTTGCTAACCCTCTTTCTATCTAGTTCTTCCAACCCTTTGTCAGCTTGGGTGTCAGCATGCACAGGCAAATAGGCTGTGTATGCAGTGTATATGTATATCACCACATATTTAACTCAATGGAAACAATATATAACGGAAACCAATCTAAATACAACATATTCTTTGTAAGCAGCTTTCATTAACATAGGGGCTGGGTATATATTGAGTGTTCGAAACATGAGAAGGCCAATAAATCTTGTCAGCATCCCTTACGCAAATCAATAGAGTGATAGCCACCACTTGTCGGAGTAAGTACTCTTTTCTTCCCGCTGTCTGTCCTTACTTAGACTACCCACCTGGATAGCATATCGTGGGGACGGGATATGCGGAGGGTACTCCGTAGATTACATGGTATGATTTCATCAACTACTAGTCGAAATCCTTTCGGCGGTACCCTGGCAAACCTCCTTGGCATTACGAAGTACCGTTCCATTATATAAGAAAAGGCACCAAGTGCTAGCGCACAATAACTGCATCTACTAGGAATTCGATATGCACTAAAACTTTCAGGGGAAGACAAGTACTAGGCGGGTTGACTAGTAAGCAGGGCCTACTAAGCCCCCGCCTCTCTATGCTAGAGAGGCGGGCACATAACCCGTATCTTGTGACAATGCGTATCTAGCTTTTTTAAATTTAAATAATAATAACTATATAATGCTTATATAAGCGATTACATAATGTAAATATATTATAGAATTTATTTTAAATTAGCTAATTTTAAAATCTTTTGGTATTTTTATTAAGTAATTTATTTTTAAATAATATTTTAAATAAATAAGTTAAGACTAATTTAGTATAATTAATTTTTTCATAATTATAGATAAAAAATAAAATTTAAATATTATATAATTGAAAAATTTCAATATTTATAAAATAAATAATTAAATATAATTAATTAATATATATATATAATTATATTATTATATAAGCTAAAAGTTTAAATAGTTAAATATATATTGTTATAAAATATAAGTTATGTATTTACCTCTTTAGTATAAAGAGGCGGGGGCTTAGTTAAGCCGCTTTATTAATCAATTCGCTTAGTATAGTAAACCTTAGTTATAATAATATAGGTTAGTACAGCCTGTAGTATTATTATAGGTAAGTAATTGTTAAAACTAGGTTTTATAAAAGTAATATACTTAATAACAGAAATATTAGTAATTTATACTTAAAGTTATTTATAATAATTATTAATTTATAAAAAATATATATTATTTTTATAAAATATTTATAATAATATAAAATTAAAATGTTTTTATTATATTTTAAAAATATTTAATATAAAAAATATATTAAATATTTATATTATATAAATTATATAAAAAAAAAATTATTTAAGTTATTTTTTTTATTAAAGCTATTAAATAAATATTTATATTTTAAAAATATTTTACATTAAATTATAAATATATTTTCCTTTAAATATAATAAATAAATATAAAGTAATTTTATTTATATTAATAATATAACTTATTATTATTAATAGTTAAATTTATAATTAATATATTAATTTATAAAAAATATTATAAAATTTATTTTAATTTAATAAATATATATAAAATTTATTAAAAATATTAAATAATTTAAATTTAATTTAGTAAATATTAATTATTTAATTTTTAACTTTTTTTTTATTAAGTTTATATAACTTATTTAAAAGCTTTAAGTAAATTAATTTTAATTAATAAATTATAATTATAAAAATAAATATTAATAATAAATTTAAATTAATAATATTTATAATAAATTTTTAAAATATTAATAATATTTTAATTTAATAGTTAATATAATAAAATTATATTTATTAATAGTTAAATTATATATATATATATATTTAATAAACTTTAATTAAAAGTATTTTTAATATTATATTCATAAATATTAAAGTTATTTATAAATAATTTTTTTAATTATATATTTAATTATTAAACTATTATAATTATTTAAAAAATATAGATATTAATTATTTAAGCTATTTTATTATTTTAATAATATATTAATTATATAAAAGTTTTATTATTATTTTCATTAAATATATATAAATTAACTATTAATTAAATTACTTAAAGATTTAATTAATAATTATTTAATATATTATAATAAAGTAAAATTATAATTTAAGTTTTATTATTTCTTTTTTTAAATTAATATATTATAAATAAAATATAATTTAATATAATTTTTATTAAACTATAATCATAGTTATAGTTAAAGAATAAAACTTATAGTAATTATTTTAATTACTTTTAAAACCTTTTAGTTAATTTGTAATATTAACTATAGTTATTAATAATTAATTATTTTTTTAAACTTTTATAATCTTTAATAATAAATTAGATTAATATATTAATTTTTTAATTTATTTTATAGTTTATAAACTATTGCTTAATTAAGTTTAGTTTATTTTTTTTTTTTAAAAAAAAAACTATTACTTAATTAAGCTTAGTATTATAAAGTTTTATAAATTTCTAAAGTTATAGGGAATTATAATACTTTAAAGTATTATAAAATATAGCTTTTTAAAAGTTTAAAAATTAAATTAAATTTTAAAAAATTTACTTTTTTAAGAATTTTAATTAATTAAAGGGCTAAAATTTAATTTATATAAATGTTTTTAATTAATAAAAAAGCTTAAAAAAATAAATTTTTAAAATCTTAAGGGAAAGAAATTTATAATAAAATTAATTATTTTATAATTTTAAAACTTTATAATTTTATAATTTTATAATTTTTTTTAAAAAAAATTAATTTTATTAATATTATAAATAATATTAAAATTATATTATTTATTTAATTATTAAAAAAATTTAAAATTTTAATTTTAATTTAAAGCTAAAATAATTTAAATTTTATTATATTAATAATATTATTAAATTAAATAATAAACTTTAAAACTATTGTATTAATTAATTAAAAATTAAAAAATAAAAATACTTTTGCTATTTAATTTAATTAAAACTTTAATAAAAGTTTTTTTAATATTTTTAATTTTAAAAAATATTATTAAAATAAATATAATAACTATTTAATAACTATAAATATAATAATTATTTAATAACTTAAAAATTATTAATTAAAAATATTTATATTTAAATTTACTTTTAATTTAAAAGCTTAACTAAACTTAAGTTAAAAAATACTTTTTAATATATTTTCTTTATAATAATAATTATTATTTTTAATAAAATTACAATCTAAAAGCTTTTATTATTTTATAATATTATTAAAATTATAAAAAATCAATTAAAATATATAAAAAAAATAAATTATTAATAATTTTATTATATAGTGTTAAAAATAAATAATAACTAAGTTAAAAATTAACTATTTAGCTAAGCTTAACCTAAGACTATATAATAATTTTTTTTTTTTAGTTATTTATATAAGTTAGTTGTAAAATTCCGACTGATATTGTTATTATTGAGGCTTTGCAGTTAATAAGTGTAAAATTATAACTGTTTTAAGCTTTTAATTGCTATAGAAAGACTATTGTCATTGAAAAACACGATGTTAAAAGCCAGAGTATCTGTCTCTGCCTTTATGCCTATGAGTCTTTCGGATTCTGTGGATATGTTATGGCTAACCCTCGTGCTATTATGGAAAACGCCTGCAGGTAACCATTAATGACAACGTATAATACAACATACATAAAACAAACACCACAGTGAAAGTGTGCTTAACTGGGCCTAGTCAATTCGTTAGGGCTTACCTACCTTTATAACTAAGGTTTACTGTAGCATTACGGGGATCATCCGGGTGGCTCTGGCAGCGGCCAATCAATGCCGCTTGACTCTCTTAACCTGCCACGTTTTCGGCGCCTAGTGTCGGCCACCGGCTTCCTGCCAGCTCGGCCTGTCGATCGCCCCGTTTTGCCGACATCCGTAGGCTGATTATGTACCTCTCTGTATGCATGGAAATGCCTGTTTGGGTTCCTCCAATCGCCAACACCTCCTCACTTCTTCTTTCTTGCTCCTCCCTCTGCCTCTTTTCGTCTCACTTCCCCTCTACGACATCACTTATCAACTGCATCCTCCCACAATATCGGCTGCTTATTCGCTATGCTGCCCGCCACACACAAGTCTACCATCGTCGCAACGCAGTACCACTCACCGGTTGGCTTGCGGAGGCCTTTGGCCGGAAACCTTTGATGCTCGCCTGCATCGTGTTCTTTGGTGTCGGCAGTGGTATCGCCGGCGCCGCCGAATCTGGGATCTCCGCCACCCGCGCCGTCCCGTCTTCGTGGTGCTGGGACCCGAGCGCGACCAATGAACCAGGATGTGCCTTCAGAGACTGGCCGTCACGAGGGGAGACGATCCGCAGAAAACTGGCCATCAAGGTGTCAGCCACGACTCACCGATAGGGGTCTGGATACTCGGTGGCATCCGCTGGCCGTCATCATTGTTGGACGGCTGACCAGGGGGTGGGTGGTGGAGGCGTGCCTCTCGTGGCCGAGCTGATCATCAGGGACATGGTCCCCCTCCCCGAGCGCCCGAAGATGCTGGGCATAGTCATGGCGACTTCCTATCTGGGTTTGGTTCTGGGTCGGGTCATCGGCGGTGTTGTGGTTGGCTATACCACCTGGAAGTGGATTTTCTGGATCAATTGTCCCCTGGCTGTTGCCTCCGCCCTCTGTTTATTTCCTATTCTGGGGCGCCGGACTCAGCAACAACGCGATGCCGCCACTAACCTAGCTGCGATCGCCCGCCGCTTCGACTGGGTCGGAAACTTCTTACTGCCGGCTAGTACCATCTCGATTCTCCTCCCCCTAACCATGGGTGGAAAGATGTATGACTGGTCTTCTTTCCGCGTCATCCTTCCGCGAGCCCTAGGCGCGGTAGGGATGATCATCTTTGCATATACGAAGCTTATTGTCCCCACCCGCTGATCCCCTTACACCTGCGTCCCCCCGGTAGCTTTCTACGAGGCGGACGCTTGGTGGCCAGGGGACGAAAGGAGGTCAGCCACCAACCCTAACAGGAACGTCAGCACCGGAATGAGCTCTGCGCTACACAAGCTCGACAAAACCCTCAAGGCTGTGGCGAGAGCGGTGCCCCCAGTTTGGAGGACCACCCCAATCCCGATTCTTCACAGGGAGTCAGGCATCCCGCCGGCCCAGGTCGCCCTGGCACAGATCCGCCTCCGCAATGCCGCGCAGACACGCAAGCCTCGGCCGACGATGCCCGCTAAGCTAAAGACTAGAGAAAAAACTCCCGGCCCGCATCACACTTACTAGGCTACTACGAACAGCGGCGCTTGTAGGAAAGACCATCAGACTTACGCTCTTCGCCAAGCCATCGCCCTACATCGAACCCGGCCCTGACTTCAGGGCCCAAAAACTCTTGGAGATGGTGGATGGACTCCCCCCCAACATTGCTATACAAGTAGGCTACTCCGATGGCTCGCAAACGTCAAGAGGCACGGGCTGGGGAGCAGTGACCTATCACAATGCCAGGGCTACTACGGCTTTCGGGCCACTACCCAATGCGGAAGTCTACGACGCGGAGGCGCTGGGCGCACTCAAAACCATGGAAATGATGGTAGCGAGGTGTAGGGAGACCCCAGAGATCAGGGAAGTCCATCTCTTCCTTTGACAATTCAGCGGTGGTGGACGGACTCCTTGGGAGACCCCCAACCTCGATGCAACATGCTTATCTTCGCTTTCAGAGACTAGCCGAGGACATGCAACCGATCAAAACCAAGGTATCATGGGTACCAGGACATGAGGATGTTCTAGGAAACGAACAGGCAGACAAACTAGCCAAAAGAGGAGCGGACAGCCAGCCGCAAAGACAAAACTGGTCCACCGCCACGCACATCAAGCGGTGGGTAAAAGAATGAAGCGCCTTGATCCAAGAGCTAGACTGGGTCGACAATACACCAGAATCCTACGCACGCTGGGGCTTGGGAGCACCTAGCAAACCCCCTGAACTGACTGCCCCGAGGACTCCTCGGTAGTTACCTAGGGGAAAGATCAGGACACTAGAAGTTCCAAGAATTCCACGACCGCTTTGGTCGTGACACCATCGCCACGTGCAGGTGCGGCGAGACAAGGACACAAGGTCATTTTGCGGAATGTCGCATGGTCAAACTCTTCCTCCCTAACATCCCTCAAAGGAAGACAGCACTTTCATTTCTTCTCGGCCCGACAGGCTACAAAGCATTCAAGAAGTTAGTGGACAACACTAATCCATACGGACCCCCTTTACAAGACAACACGTAACCAGATTGGCACATTGAAACCCCCTGTCTTTCTTTTGTATCAGCTAAAGAATCAGTGAACGCGGCTTAAGTCAACTGCTCCTGATGTCCTATTGCCAAGGTTCGGCTTTTATGTGTCTAGCTTACTCAGTGGACGTAAATAAAACAAACAAACAAACATTCGTGTGAGACCTGGCTATTTGGAAAAGCCAGTTTCTGACCGGGCAAAGTGGATAGCATCATCGGCATCAACCTCTGCCCAAGACTCTGTTGGGAATGCTTTAAACACTGGCCAAGCTGGAATAGACTCGCCGGCAGCGCTGCGTACAGAAAATGGCTTTCGAATCCCGCTGAGTGTCAAGGCCAACGGGTAATAACTTAATGTTCACACGTACCGCCGGATATCTCGGGTGTGTTTTCGGTTCTATGTATCAATGAGTATTGATCTGTGATATCTATAGCTCCGCAAAGGGCCACTTCCCCTTATCTCAAAACATTGCAAAATACATGAAATACTCGTAAACGCTTTCTCCTATCGATCGAGACTTCAATGGTCTCGAAATTGTGAATGCATCTTCAGCCTCTCCGAGATCAAGTCCAGCCCATCCCGCAGATCCTCCTCTTCGCTATGTATATCCTTGCCGATTATGTTGCTGATAAAAGCCCCCGGGTGACTCGGATACATATTCGGCCGAGCCTCATTAATCCTTACCGCCAACTGTCGAGTCTTGTGCCAGATCTCTTCTGTGTGGTGTGAGATTAATTGCACTAGCAGTGCAATTTGTAATCGCGGACTAACAACCGTATGCAGTGTCCCGATCTGGACCGGCACAAAGTCTGACGCATCAAATTGCTGCGCCTCCGCCATGGTCACCGAGTTGATAAGCATGTGTACCAGATTCTTGTAACTACGAAGGATTTGTATATAGCAGATAAATGCCAATCGAATTTCCACAGCGTCTACTGTGCCTGCCGGTATATATTGTTGCTGACGTCTGGATTGTTTACTAGTCCATTCTAGGTGGAAGGAAGGTTCGTCGTTGGATGAGATTGACGCATCACTAACAGGCGTAGTGGTATGAGGGGTGTGCTGTCGCTGTTGGATAGATGCCAGACTGGAATCGGCTGTGCATGGCGGTAAGATTTGGTTCAGGACTTCGATGAATTTCTGGGCTATTTGGACCGTTTGGTTTATAATAGCTTGGAGTTCTGCGGCTTGAGGTGGTCTCTGTGTTTGAATGCCGTGGAGCTTTAGTTGGATTTGAGAGAGTAATGGTACCGGGTCCATGATAGCTTCAGCTATCTCTGAAGGACAGCAATCTATTGACCTTATTGCAGAATTGCTGGTAGGAGCTCCAGGTATAGCCATTAGAGATGAATCTAATGATTCCATATGAGAAGAAGATGAAGGCTTTAAGTGGGCCTTATCGTCCAGTAGATCTGACCACATTTCATCATTGTAGTTTGTGGAAGATCCGCAGAATAACCCGGGCGTCGTATCTGACATTGTAGGATCAGTATAATGGTCTAGAGACAATGGCCAGACTTCAAAGGCCGTTGCCACCACCTTATGATTCATTGGGTTCGCGGTGCAGGCGGAATCATGCTGCTCTGCTGGGGGGAATTTTGCCATCTCTCGAAGGCCGTCTACGGAAAAGGCCGAGGAACTCTCCAACATTGAGCTGTTCTCATCTTGTGTCGTTGTCCTTGTCGTTGTAATTGCTGTAATTGTTCTGGAAAGACCTTGATTCGAAATGGCTAGGAAACTGCTTTCTGGAGCCCTGTAATTGGCCTCCTCCTGTTTGTTTTCTTGCTTTTTCCGTTTACTAGGTCGGCCGAGGCGGAGGCGAGGACTAAAGACACATTTTTCACCTGCTTCTTTGCAACGACGACAGGGATTTTCATCGTTGGCTGAGGTGCGAGTACACCGTTGCTTCCGCTTATGACACCTGTCACAAGAGAGCCGAAGCAATCGAGGGCTACCAAACGGCAACATGACTGACAAGAAAAATTGAGACAAGAAGCTGATCGATCAAGGAACAAAAAGGAATTTTGATGCCCCTAGAGTCCCCTCTTTTTCTTCGACATTCGTGATGAGCGTTACTTGCTGACGCTGTACTTCGTACTTATGGTGAGAACTATCATTTGAGACGGCCCAGATTCTTGCCAGTAATCGAAGTCAGACCAGAGGGATGTTGGCCGCCCCGGGAATTCGGCCACCCCGGGAATTCGGCCACCGCCTTTTCCCTCCTACAACACCACAACCACACCGCCGCAATTGCTGTTTTTTTTTTTTTTTTAATTTAATGAATTTCTATATAAATAACGCCTAAATATTCTAAAGAAAACATTTCTGCCGCAATAGAAGATCTAAAAAACAGCATTTTGCAGCGGAAAGCTGGGGAATACCCCGAACAACACTGCAAGAACCTTTGAGTAGCCAGTGTGCCCATCAACTAAGTAAACCAAAATATGGCTTCCTTATTTGACTTGGTTGACTGAAGCCTTTGCTTTAGTTAATGAAAGCAGGTTGATTTGCTTGGTCGACGGGAAGTCTTTGCTTTGCTTGGTTGACAAGTATCGAGCAATCACAACCAACCAAGTCAAGTTACTTGGTTGTTGAACACACTGAAGCCTATATATAGATCGCCAATATAGAAGTGATCCAGCGATTTAGTTCCAGTGTGGCGTCATACAGAGATATACGAAACAATAAACTGTCGCTGTTGCTAATCGTATCGTTGCTTGAACTGCTTCCATGTTCGGGGTCCAGTACGGAGGGTCATGCGGACGGATATGGGTGCAACCAAGACAAGCAGCGATGTAGCTGCATGCACAATGAATTTCAATTGTTCGGCGGGCCCTTGACTACTATGGCACCTAAACATTCTTGATGGTGCACTACACATCATGCACAAACCCTTCCGATAGGATTGTAAAGCCTACGACCGCTATACTTCTCGCGCTACCTGGAGGGCCATGGTTAACCAAATTGTCCCAAGCTAGAGATTGCGGGCATAAGCGCGCACTGGCATACTGACTTGGTACTTGCTAGAACTACGTATTCTATAAAATGGTAACTATTCTGTTGCTTAGCTATACCCTGATCTTCTGCTAATATAACCCCCACGACCTAGTTTATCTCTTAGAAAAATAGCCAGTTCGTCACAGAAGGCTACTCATTCCATTCCCGGGGACACGAGAGGACGGGCATTTATTGCCTTGAATAACATGGGGCAGTGCCCGCCGGATGAGCCTACCCTGTTCATGGCTTGCATATACTTAGACGAAGGATTTGTGTTTTATCCTTGAAGTGACAATCCGTATTAAATTTATACATGGTTATACAGCCGATTCTACCCATGCATAGTAAAGCACAAAACGTCACTCGCAATCCAGTAACTCATTTCAAAGCTCCGATCCATGCTGAGCCGAGCTTGGCTTAGAATGTATGTTTGTCAGTTCCGTCGTTGTTGGACCGCCTTTCGTTATATCGACGCTAGGGTCCGAATTGCTCTCTGTCTGCCACAAAAACGGATACTCGTCGGTATCTGCGTCGCCCCTCTTGGGGCGACCCGCTTGGGAAATCCGAAACCCATCCTCTGTACGGAGTACCGACCTTCCAGTTCTTGGGCAACGTCCTAAGCTGGCTTCCAACAGTGTTATTTCTTGCTCGTGAGAGTCCAATTGAACCTCTAGCGAAATTGGATCTACCGCATAGGGTTCCGTTTGTCGCTAAAACGAAAAGGGGCATGAGAGAAGGGAGGCAAGCTAGAGAGAGGGAAAGCATCAGTGGGGAATGGAGATCGGAAGAAGGCGGATAGGAAACTTACCACAGACAACCGCTAGGTTCTGTTCAACAACCGACCACATGGAGGTATCGACATAATTCCATGTGACGTCTGGAGATGTCAAATCCATTCGCAAGGTATAGAAAAAAAGAACAGCGGATATTAGAACCACCCTTTCACCAGTTGTCAGTAGCCAACAGCGCAATAGACGGTGTATCAAGCAGCAGGACCTAGAAGATAGGTAGAACCATACTCCTGGAGGTTTTGAAGGGGGGAAACACACAGGGCACGAAAAAGAGAGATAGTGGCCAAGCCCAATTTTCGAGCCATGGATAACTGAGTTTTGGCAATGTATGGGGCGGGGAATGCAATTAATAAAATGTCAGTAATCATATTAGGGATCACATTTCCATAGAAAAAACTACGGTCATTACAGAGACTGTGATATTCCGAGGTGGAATTGGGTTGACTGGGTCATACTGAACCCAGTTCGAATCCACCGGCTGGCATTTCAAGCTCATAACCAATATCTGCAGGCAGGTATACTCGTCAGCACCAGCCCTTCGCAATAGCCAGATGTTATGTTGTGTTGCTAGCAGGAAGGGACTCACGCTTGCAAGGCCCCACGCTGAGACAATAGCGAAGAGCGTCCAAATCCGTAGCCTGATTGAGTGCAATATGTTAAAGATGCGCCAATAGAAGGCAAGAATAGCCCACTTAATCAACACCAACCCCGAAAAATATGCCAGTTCACCGATGAAGAGTCCCAAAGCCCAGGCGTAAGCCGCATCTGGCGGACCGTCATAGATATGTTTGCCGAAGCCCCGGGGCACCTCTAGAAAGGTTGTTAACTTCTGATTTAGAACGGTGAAGTGATGACAACTAAGCACTGACGGTAAGCAGCTATGGTGAATGTATGAGCACCTGCCCAGATCTGCTTGTGTAATTAGAACTAGGACCTTGACAGTGGTGGGTTCGTCTTTGTGGAGACATACCAATGACGCGATGGCGAGCCAGTCATCTAGCCATAACCTGTTGCGTTTAAGTTTGCGACTTAGGACTCGGAGGCCAGTGGCGATGACAGCTAGAGCCCATGTTATTGTCGTAGCTGCAAGAACTTCGGGGCCTCTGTTCGGTATGGAATCAGTAGCCATAATGCACCTAAGTTGCAGCTATTATAAGCAACCACTTGAACTGGCACCTATGCAGACGCGTCAAAGCTGTCGAAGGTGCTTCGGATGGCGGCGCCAGTGCGTTGCGGTCGAGTCTGATATTTTCCAACAGGGGTTCTCACAATGGAGAGAAGAAAGTAGCTCCGTGTCATGTTTTAGGGTATCGAGATGCCTTTTAGGCGAAAGGACAAACTTCTAACTCTTGTGGAATCCACGATGCCGGTATATGGGTTGTCTCAAGACCTCTCCCTCGGACGTAGCAACACTGTAACATATTCTCTACCGAGTCCTCAATCCAAGGAGTAACGTGTAAGTTAGTGTACCTTGTGTATATATAGTTTGCGTACGCGCCGCGCGTTATCCTTACAATACCTAGATAATACAGACTAATGTACTCTACCTTCCACTTAAGTTTTAACTTCTTGGCATCTGCTGTTGAGGGAATACATATTGGCCTGATTAAACGTGCTAGTTTTGCTACTAATGCAGTTGTGCATGTGCTAGCATATATAGGATGGAAGGGCTTGCATGACTGGGTGCGTGACAGATAGTTGCATGAAAGGGCGTCAGCTCATGAGAAACTGCGCCACATGGGCAACAGTGGTTTGAGAGCCATAAAACGACAAGGTAATCAGTTCAGAAAACAAACCGTACACCAAATCAACCAAGCACCACCCATTGAATGCTCTACCAATTGCCATATTGACCACCGTGCGACCGTCGCCTCGTTATGCCTCTGACAATATATCAACTAATGCTGGTACTTCACAAGCATAGAATTATCCTAAGCTTAGGCATGGGCCCAATTGATCCGCATGATGCAGCCCGAGGGAGTGACCAGTCAAAGTCCGATATCTCCTCTTCTCACTACCAATATAGGACGTATTTTTGACATCCTCGAATAATTTATCACTTTGTCTGTAAAGGAACGACATAATGAACGTATGTCTCTACAAACCTAGTCGAACCCTCGAACCTTTTCCTTTCTCTTTAGTTCTAGATAGACAATATGAAGGCATCTGCTTGATAAACCAAACTCAGGCTAAGCCCCTTTCACAGAGCAACATTTAAGCACTGGTCACCCGTTGTAAAGGCCCGGCTTGTATACTAAGGTAACAAGAGAGGCAACACCCAGAAAAACCTCCTCAACACTAGGATAATCCAACGCAGACTTTAAGCATTAAGCGTATGCAGGCTAGGGCTGATCACTCTTTTCTATGGGCTAGGATTAGCGGTTTAACAAACGTGTACTTGGCTTTCCCATGTTGACTATTCTCGCTGGCTGTTGCTCATACTAGCTTTATAGGCATTAAAATTTGGTCTAACTCGCGCAAGGTTCTTTCAGGGAGGCAAGGCCACACACCCGCCCATGCGGTTACACACCTGATAAAACATCTCCACTGAGCGAACTCCTTCCGGTCACCATATAGTGGTTACGAGGCCGTTAGCACCGAAAACAATCACCACAAAACAGATGTATGACATCCGCACAAGCACCACGTAATCGTGCTACCCAACATCTAGTAAAGTGGGAAATAATACAGTGAGTTAGTTCACGGGCGAAAAAATGGGATATTTCAACTGCCGTCTATAATAAATATTGTATCATATACGCGAGATACCAGACCGGTTGATTAATAGGCAGGGCCTACTAGGCCCCCGCCTCTTTATGCTAAAGAGGCAGGCACATAACCTGTATTTTGTGACAATACGTATGTCACGACCCAACGCCTTTATAGTTGCAACAATAGGCCTATAGGGTAGGTACCCTGGAATTATAAAAAAATAATAGTTTAATCAGTAGCAGGACTTATATACAGTTAAGTAAACTAAAGTAAACTACTTTTTATTTAAGTAATGTTAAACTATAGCTATTGCTACAGCTAAAAAATAAAGCTTATAGCAGCTATTTTGGTACCGTTTAAAGCCTTTTAGCTAGCTTATAGCACTAGCTACAGTTAGTAATAGCTAATTACCCCCTATAGCCCCTATAATTCACAGTAATAAGCTATACTTACTAATCAACCTTTTAACCTACCCTATAGTTTATAAGCTATTGCTTAATTAAAATTAGCTTATAGCTTTTTAATAGCTATTGCCTAATTAGGCTTAGCGTTATAAAGCCTTATAAACTTATAGAATTATAAAGGATTACAGTGCCTTAAAGCACTATAAAGTATAGCTTTCTAAAAATTTAAAAATTAGATTTAATTTTAAAAGACCTGCTTTTATAGAAAATCTAGTTAATCAGAGGGTTAAAATTCTGCTTATATAAGCGTTATAAGCTAATAATATTACTTAAAAAAATAGGTCCTTAGGATTTTAAAGGGGAACTTTATGAAAAGCTTAAAAATTGCAAAATTTAAATTTGGGCCGAATCCTCCACCAACAATAAAAACGGTTCCCTAATAAAGCCTATAAACACTTAATAATTACGTAATTGGCAGAAGGGATTAAAATACATAAGCTATACTAAAGGATAGCCTGAATTTAGGGCTATCTAACAGTAGTCTTTATATATATAAATTCTATTTATTAGTATTGATTGTTAAAATATAAATAGTAGACGTTTTCCTAAGTTTTCCTATACTAGTAACTTTAATCAATCAACGAATTCAACAAGCAAAATTAACCACTTTTGACTATTTCTTACTAAACTAGTAATAAAACTAACTATACTATAGCTTTAAAGTTTTATAAGTAATTAACTTATTTAAAATTAAATAAATTTAAGTAAACTTTATTATATATATTATTTAATATAATTAAATAGTTAATTATAAATATAATATTGAAATTAAATTTATTTAATATTTTTTATTAATTATATAATTATTTTTATTTAATTTTTAATTAAAATTAATTATATTAAAAATAATAAAAAAACATTTATTATTAAAACTTTATATTAAAAATTAAAAATAAAATATATTAATTCAAATTAAAAAAATTATTATTTTTATTATTTTTATTTAATAATATATTAATTTTAGTAATTATATTTAAAAAAATATTAAAAAAATATAAAAAATTAAATTATTTTTAAATACTTTAATATAAATATAATAATTATATAAATAAAAAACATAATTTAAAAAAGTTATAATTATTATAATTTTTAAATTTTTTTTTATTAATTTTATTATATATTTAAAAATTTAAATTTTTTTTTAAATATATTATAAAATTATTATTTTTTATAAAATTAATAATAAAAAACACTTAAAATAATATTTTTATAATAATTAATTAAGTAATAAAAATAATATATTTTATTTTATCAATAAAAAATAATATAATTAAAAAATTTATATATTAATTTATTAAATATTTTTATATTAAATATAAATTATTAAATAAAATTATTTTAAATAAAAAATTAATATTTATTTTTAAATTTTAATAATTAATTATAATATAATTAAAATTAAATTAAAAATTTAATAATATTAATAAAATATTTATAATTTTATATAAATTATAAATTAAAATTAAATATTTATAAATTATTTAAAATATATATATAAAATTATTATTATAATTAATAAAAAAATTAAAATTAAAATTATTTTAATTAATTATATTTATTATAAAATTTAAAGTTATAAAATTAATAAAATTAAATAATAATATTATAATTTAATAAAAAAAATATTTTTTTATATTTAATTTTATTTAATTTTTTAAATTATTAATATTTTATATAATTATATATATTATTTTCTAATATTATATATTTTTAATTTTTATAAATATTTAGTTTTTTTTTTGAATTAATAAAACTATTTATATATATATATATATATATATATATATTTATTATTTTAATTTTAATTTTTAATTTAATATATTAAATAATAATTTTATAAGATAATATTAAAAAAATTATTTTAAATTATAAAAAAACTTTTAATTAAAAATATAAATAAAATAATAAAATAATATATTTTTTTTATAAAAAATATTTTAAAATTAACTTTTTATATAATAAATATTTATTTATTTTAATATATTTTTTAAATTAATATTTTTTATAAATTATTATAATATTATTAATATTTTAATTATAAAAATAATAAACTTATTAATAAAAAAATTAAATTTTTTATATTTAAATTAATAAAATTTTAAAAATATAAATAATAATATTTTAAAAATAAAATTAATAAAAAAAATATTATATTATAATATAAGTTTTATAATTATAATAATAAGTTTATAAAGTAAATAAAATTAAATTAAATATAAATTGATTATTTAATAATATTTAATTTATATAAATTAAATAAATTATAATTTTATTAATTTATTTTATAAACTATATAAATTTAAAAATAATTAAATATATAAATTTACGTTTTAACATTTATTTAAATAATTTAAATAATTGGTTATTAATATAATAATTAAATTAAATTTAACTATTATATTTATTAACTATATAACATTAATAAAACAGCGCCCATAACTAACCTAACCGCTTCCCTAACATAAACCTAATACCTAAAGGTTTATCCCTTGGAAACAGCTAACCTATACTAATTATATAGGACCCAGTTCGTCACACTATGTATCAGTCACCGGCCTCAGCCGGGGGCTTAGTCAAACAACAACCCAGTGTAGCAACACTCTAAAGGTATATAAAGGCCCAACTTCCTCATGGTGTGTCTCTGCTAGTGAAGAAAGAGGGCGCCATAAGATAGCTGTCGCCGTAGCTAATACAGAGGGTTGACACAGAGGGAGCAAGGTTTGAAGTATCAACGACTTTCTTTCTTTCTTTCTTTCTTTTTTTTCTTTTTTTTTTTTCTTTTTCTTTTTTTTTTTTTTTTTTTAAAAAAAAAAAGAACTTAAAACAGAGCGCTAGTTGTGCCTGCAGTTTAGCCTGACCAGTCGTCTATCAGGAAGCATGAAAAGGGCATTTACGCGGATGAACACCCCCCGGAACCGTGCTTTTGTCTCTCAGCTATCCATACCTTGATTTCACAAGTCATGGGGTTTCACTGACGCCAGCAACTCCTTAGCCTTCTCCTGCATCCCTTGGTACCACTCCTGCAAATGATTGCGGCTTGCTAAACTGGGCTTCTTTTGGCCAGGAGACTGATGGTCCTCGGAGGGGGCAGCCTGAGCCTGCTGCAGTCTCTTCCATTCGCCGTGGCAGGACCGAATCGTGTCTATGCATTTAAGTAGATCCCTTTTCAACAACAGGCTACGCAGCATGACCTGCTCATCTGGCTCCAGCTCCAGGCAGCCAAAGGAGAAAACGGGCCGTCCCTGGCGCATCAAGCTTGAGGTAATCGAACTCGAGGTCGTCGAGGCATCTGCCGTCACGACGTCCGGCGGAGACAGGGCGGACCTCGATGGCGAACCCTGTGACTGGCTGCCTATAGAGCCATCATTCCAGTGCTCAGTCGTTTGGGCGTTGTCCGCAAGGTCGGACTGCATCGAGTCGAGCGCCGACTCATACATGCTCAAGATGAGGTCTAGGATAGTGGTAACAAGCATGGGGCAGCTGTGACACATCTTGAACCCATCCATCGCCATGATGGGAGGCAGACTGGTCATTGCCTTTCGGTTCACGGACATGATGCGATCCATCGTGGGTGCCGTGCTCAGAGAGCACCGCTCGAGACTCTCGATGACGCTTGTGAGAGCGGCCGCGTGGTGGTATCGCTTCAAGCCGTTGGAGTCGCGCCAGGATTGCGAGGCAGCCACCGTCGACTTGGCGCCGAGCTCTGTCAGCGGCGGGTGTGTCGCTTGGTGCTGCCAGGCGAAGTGAGCCTGCCACCCCTCGGCGGTGCTGTCTTGGGCGTGTTGGGGGTCAAAGATGCGGACGGAGCATGGGGTGTCGACAATGTCCATGTCCAAGGGGTCGGCGCAGCCCCCCAGGATATCAGCAGACACGGCACCGTGTGTCGGGAAAAGCTTAGCCGGCGAGGATCCCGATCCCGACCCGGCATAATCGCCCACGTCGCCGAGCTGAAAGACCCCGCCTTCTTTGATGAGGGGAACAGCGGGCACCAGCGCCGGAAGAACCGCGCCTGTCGACGGGGCATCGCTGCGGCTCCAGGAACCAGACGCAGGTCTGGCTCCCAGCGTAAGCTCCGTGTATGGATCAGAAGACGGCGGCATCTGTGGCCGGGCCTCCCAATGGTGACTCCCGCCGAGCCGCTGTCTCTTGAACGAGCTGCGGCCGACCATGGACACCTGGTACTGGCATTTGAGACCCAAGCTGACGCAGCGAGAGCACCCGTCCTTGTCGCCAGAACACCGAACCTGTCAGCGAGGAGGCTTGAAAGTTAGCGGGAGTCTGCCATCCACTATGCGGCCGGCAGAAGCGGCAAACCGGACCGGAGTTTTCTTGGTGGCCGCCGGCACTCACTCACCTTGGAGGTATTACACTGGTTGCATGCAAACCGAAGTCTAAACGGCTTTGGCGCCCCTGCTTGGCCAGCTTCGAGGCCCCCATCCATCGTCATTGTCCCACAGGAAGCGAAGAGTGTGTGGCGGCTGGTTGAGGCTGGGTTGGGCTGAGGCTTTCTGCTGGGAGCGTCGTGAGCCTTTGGGATGATCGAGGGGATCAAGGGCAATGCAGCGCTCTGGAAATGGTCCGATGTGAAGGTGCGGAAATCGTACCGGAAAGGTGGGTCGCGAGAATCTGGGTGAGTGAGTGAATGAATAATCAGGAAGAGGGAGGCGGCTTGCTATTGAAGTCGGGACTAGTGCCTAGCGGGACCCCAGTCTGGGATGGAACAAAAGAAAATCAGTCAGATTCAGGATCAACGCCAAAGGAGAAAAGCAGCACAAGAACGTTATTCTATGTATTTCTTGGTGTACCTTTTTTTTTTTTTTTTTTTTTTTTTTTTAAGTTCTAGTTGGAGGGAGTGGCAAAGGTTCTCAAATCTAACTGCAGCAGTTCTTTGATACTGCTTGAGGCTGTAGTTGCTGTTCAAGTCGATTCTTTGTGTTTATTGATGCATCTCTTTGGTCACGACGATTCCACTATTTGGGTTTTCTCCTACCTTTGTTTTCTTCTTTGGCCTCAGAGTATCAATTCGATACTGTAGAATTCGGACTCGGGCTTCTGCTGCTGCCAGTTGGCGCTTTGGTGATCTAGAGGTCTAGATGACTTTACAGCTTTCCGGAAAAGCAGCTGGGCGTGCTGTTGGGTTAGCACACACCGATTGAATCAACCATGAATCAACCATCCATCGTAGGGCACTTGTTGCGGCCGTTGGTGTGTGGGAAATGACGGATTCTGGTTCTTTTCTTCTCCCAGTTGCTGGCAACGGCGTTGGGGCGTTGTTGCTTGGCTGGGTTGGCCTTTATCCTCTAGGATGAAGATATTGGTTTAACAACGGCTTTGCGATGTTGACTGGCCACGGTCCTGATCTAACCCACCCTTCTCGAGCGTTCCTTTCGGTGAGGGTAAGCTTCCTGGCTTGATGATGGCAGAGGAAGACTATTCTGCTGTACGGCATGGAATCAATCGTTAAACTTGAGGAAGTCAGCGAGGGCTTATCGGTAATAGGTTTTGACGGGCGAAAAAATCAAGACATCGAGAGGTTAAAAAGGGCGTGGGAGGTGTGCGACGGTAGGAACAGCAAATAGATATCATTGATATAGCATTTTTGAAGGAAATGATCTGTATAATGGCTTCCGTGACCGTCGACGATAAGCAATTGCTTTGATGGGAGGTTTTTTTTTTTTTTTTGGCCCAGCCTCGGGGATGAAGATCTTTTGTAGGTATTTGAGAGCAGTAATTTTAATAATCCGGCCTTTCTCTGACGTTTCAAACACCGAGTTAGCCATGAATTGAAGTTCTGAGGGAAACCACTGTTGTTGCGTGCTTAAATCTTTGAAGATGCCCAAACGGGGAAGGATCCGACCTATTGCCAAGATATAGATACTTTGCGATTGAAGTTCAATAACGTGAACTAGGTTGTTTCTTCTGATATTAGCTCTCTTGTTGGCAGCCCTGAGCATGCCAACGGGTAGGTCCATGCTGGCAATGTTCCCGGCGTTGGACAGATCTGCGGTGCGTAGGTGCGATCGAGGACCCGCCAGGGTGAGCGTAGTAGGCTGTCAGGCAAGATGGGTGTGAATCTCTTTACTTGAGCTTGTCATCGCTAATTAGAGCGCGTGGGGTTCAGAATCAATCGTTGCGCAGCGTAACGAATCGAGGGCGCTCCGTTTGGATCGAGATGGATGCAGGATTACAGACGCCGGACACCGAAGACAACCCCGACCACCCCATGCTGCTACGCATAGTTAGAAGCCATTCGCATGCTGACTGGTAAAGCCGGTTTCGATTCGATTAAAGTACACAAGATAGCCAAACCCATTTGTATGCCCGATTTTGATAACATTGCCGCCGAACAAGTGGTTCCTCTTACACAACTTGCTCCGAGTTTCTTGCTCTTTTCTCTCTCTTTTTTCCCCCCCGCTTGCTATCCCCTCGCACGCAGAGGCTACGTCAAGTGTGGGAGCATCCGGGGAGGACGCACCCCACGAGCACATATTCTTCGCCCATTGCACCAGGGCTGGTCACATTGGCATCAATCATCCTCAGGGTGATTTTTGCCGAGCTTTCCATCTCGACACGTTTACCCCTCCGCTAGCCCACCGGGAACTATTCGACCTCGACAAGTTTCTACGGCACAACCTATCAAAGGACCCAGGGTCCCTCTGCCGTTCAAGACGCCGTTGGCCACCTTGGGAGCCTGTTGCACCACGGCGACAGGCAGCGGGAGAATCACGTCCACCCCTAAGCACCGGCTGTATCCGTCACCGCCACTGCCAGTCACCATGGCGCCGCGGTGGAGCGCCTGGCGAGGCCCGAACATGTCGGACTTTTTGCACAACTTGAACGTAACCAACGACAACAGATGTCCGGACGAATCCGAGTTCAGCTTTGAGGATGCCCTGGCCATGTTCACCAACTCGCAGTTCTTCGACTCCGGCTCGGGTCAGAACATTGATTATCAGGCCCTTCCTGTCCACCCGGAGATTGAGCATGCAGCCCCTTCGGCGGCAGCCAGCACCGCTGACGAGCTCGCCTCACTTCTGGGTGACTTCACCAACCTAGACTTCATAACGAGTGAGTTCCTTGCCTGCCATCCGGACGGTGTCTATTCGTGGCACCTTCACTGTCCCTCCCCTCGCCCCTTTCAATTTCCATCCCTCTCCCCTTTCCTCTGCCTGTTCCCTCCTCCCCATCCGTCGAGCAGCACGACCTTCTCAAGTTCTGCGGGCTGCTGTTTTCGTTCTTCGACACTGCTCTCGTGGCCATCCCACTTGTTCGTAATAGTTGCTCGGGTCGGCTGCCGGGCCGGGAAAACAAGGGGCGACGAGTTGCGGCCGAAATCAGCACCCAAACCGGAGGCTTGACCCCAACCATCATAGATACACACAAACCGGCCAGTTTTTCGGCGCTGGCGCGACGGCGTTTTTCGGCCTCCGAGCGTTCAAGACAAGCAGCAAGTCAGCCCTCCCTTTTCCTACCGACTGTGGACTGGGAGCGCCATGCCCTCATCACTACTGCCCGCGTAGGGACCTAGTTCCTCGAAATTGAATCCCATAAATCTTCCGAGATAGGCCATATCCCGTAGTCTGCAGTTGTCACTATCTCACGGGCAGCGGTCCTGGCGAACCTTCGTGCCTCCACAATCAAGAACGGACCCGGTTGCTTATTCCGGGGGTATTTTCGATACCAGCAACCCGTCCCATCCGTACCACATCCCACATCCGTATTGTCCTGTCCCTCCCGCTCCCGTTTGTTTACCCAAGTCACAGCTTCTTCTCTACCAATCGAATCCCCACCCCCCTTCAACCCTTTTCTCTTTCTTACCCGAACTTGACATCTCTCCTACGATACCTAGAATTTGACTGCCGTCCCTCTTAGATCCAAGACTTGACACTAACATCAGCAGGCGCTTTCGATCTTGGGGAATTCGACTGGCTTTTTGACCTGAGCGTCCCACTCCCCCACGAGGGCCTAGGCAACCTGCAGACCATACAGCCCAACCCCCTATCTCACCATAAATCCCCCGTTCCTCAGCAGCGGCCCCAACTGAGCTCCTATGATCAGCCTGACCCTGTAACAGGCGACAGCCCTTCGAGAAAAGCCAGTGTATCAACACAGCACAGTAGATCGCTGAGCTTTGAGGAACTACCTCGCCTTGCTGAGGAAGTGGACAGGCGCAAGCGCAACACGGCCGCCAGCGCCCGTTTCCGTATCAAAAAAAAGCAGCGCTGGACGGCCCTCGAGAAGGCAGTTACTGAGATGTCTGAGAAGGCAACCCAGCTGGAGAACCGCATCACCCTCCTCGAAACGGAGAACAACTGGCTCAAGAACCTAGTCATAGAGAAAAGCAACGGCAACGAGGAGTTCGCCGCCAAGTTCAAGGAGTTCAATTTGAAGCATAAGGCGAGCAAGACAACCACCGAGTCATCTGTGTCATCGGGCGCCGCCACGAAGAAATAATCACAGTCATTGGTAGCTCGATTATATAACAGGTTAGTTTTGATCTCTTTACTTGTCAGGACGAGCTGTTGGAATCATGAGGGGAAAGGCCCCGGCGTATGCCTATTCCAGCAGGACGGAAGGATGGGCAGGTCGAGCGGGAGTTGTTTGGGAAAAACCAACCATTGGGTTATTGCCAATGGGGCAAAGTTCTTAGGACGTCTTTGCAAGGATTGATGCTTACGGCTGACCACGGCACTGCTGGGCAATCCGGCATTTGCGATTAGCGTTATATAGGAGCAGGGGGCAGGGGGGTTGATGGACATAGTTTTCAGCCTACTTCTCCGTAGTGTGATGGGAGAGCAGCAGCTGCATGTGAAGCCCAGGGGCATTGATGCTTGGATGGCAGTCATCCCTGTCAGAACAAATCCGTAGTAGTTCTGGATTCCGAAGGCCATTAGCAAAAGAATGGCAGTAGCAAGTAGCAAATCGGATGCCCCGTTCGAGTCAAAGGAGGCTTCTCGACGTTTCCATATCATGCGAGTGTGGCCATAAAGGGAGCCCCCAGCACTAGCCTTCAACGATGAAGTCCATCCCCCAGTCCTTATCCAACCGGCATGACAAGCTAAACGTACTTGTCGGTTACCTATGCAAGCTGTATAAAGCAAGAGCTTTAGGAATTTTGGCGCTAAGAGAGATAACTTAAGGCTGGCCTAAGGATAGCCCATATATATATAACTTAATCCCTTTGTTAAGAAAAGTAATATATGTATTATATTTAATACTATACATAGGTTTTATTATATATATACTAACAATTTATAATATATTTAGTAGTTAGTATTTAAAGTAATATTTAATATTAAAGTTAAAATTAATATAAAAAAAAACTTTTTTTAAATATATTAAAGTTAATAATAATTTAAAATATATAATATATAGTATAGTATAATATATAAAATATTAATATATAATACATAAAGTTTTAAAACTTTTACTTTATATAATATATATAAGTAATTTATATTAGTTTATTATATATAAAATAATAAAAAGAAAGTATTAATTAAATTAATAAATTGAGAAAATCTATTAATATTAATACTTTATATTAATATTACTTTTTATAATAGTATATTAAGGTCCTTTATAGAAATCCTATTATAATATATTTATTTTATTTAAGTTTTTTTATATTTAAATATATAATTAAATTATAATATATTATAATATTTTATATACTTTTAATATAACTTAAATTTTTAAAAAATTAAATATAAAATTAATTATTTTTTATTTTATAAAAGTAATTATATAAAAACTATAAAAAACTTTTAAAAATAATTTTTTTTAAAAAATTAAATTATATTATATAAATTATTTTGCTTTATAAAATATTAAATATATAAGAAATTATAAATATATTTTATAAAAGTTTAAACTTTTAATTTTTAATTTTTATAATTATTATATAAATTAAATTATTATTATATTATTATATATAAACAATAATATTTTAAAAAATTTAAATTTTATATTTAGAGGTTAAATTTAATATTAAAAGGTTTATGTGTATCCACCCAAATCTCGGCTACCGGCTAGGCAATGTTTTTAATCGGTCACCGACGCTATTCGGTGTTTTAATATCATTTACCCAGAAGATCCTACCCAAATTGTAAGTCGCAAGCCTTTAGTGCTTATTTAATGACAGATGATATATTTGGGTTAATCTTGGGTATCTTCAAGAAATACGTTGACAATCTTCACACGAGCGCAATCATGTCTACGTCAACGGCGCAAAGCGAAATACCAAGTGAAGATCTTCAAACCGCATTGCAGATTCTCGCTGAAGTACCTTTGATAGGCAGGTGGTGAAATCTAAAACCAGGTCTTACGGCCTTGCTGGATGCAGGGTGGCTGACACGTTGCCCAAAACCAGACGGACACAACGATTGGCCATGCAATATCCGCGGCTGGTTCGGCAACAATGTTAGGCATGAAGATTTCAATCTGAACTCTGTCCCCATCGGTCAGACTGACCTTGAGCGGCTGGGCCGCGGACGCGTCGGCGGCCAGTTCTGGAGCGCATTCGTTTCCTGGTTCGTGAGCAGTCAAGCATGCCCTTCGCTCTTCCAATGGTCCAACTAACGTGCTGCCATCGTTCGGCAGTCCACCTTCCGAGCCGGGACATGAACCTCAGGATGGGGCATATCTCGAATCGATGAGGAAAACTCTGCAACAGATCGATCTGATATATCTGATGATTGAGATGTACCCGACGCGCTTCGCTCTCGCAAGGAACTCCGCCGACGTATTAGAGGTATTTAGGAGCGGCCGAATAGCCTGCATGATTGGACTTGAAGGCTTGCATCAGATTGGCAACAGCTTTAGTTGCTTGAGGCTGTATCGCTCCCTCGGGGTCCGCTATATCACCCTTACCCACAACTGCAACAACCTCTATGCTGATTCGGCTGTAAGTGGCATGTTTAGATGGCACTGCACTCATGGCCTAGTGCTGACCCCGATATTGAATCATCCAGACGGCACCTGTCCTTCACGGCGGACTTTCGGAACGGGGTAGGAGGGCGGTGCAAGAGATGAACCGAACAGGACTGTACGGAACCCAAAGAAACGCTCAAATTCTCGTGCGCGTTCACCACCGAATAGACGGAGGCTAACTCATCCCAGCATAGTTGATTTATCCCACACAAGCGATGCTGTTCAAAAAGAGGTCCTCAGCCTCAGCCGCGCTCCCGTGATATTTTCCCACTCATCTTGGTAAGCCCTTGGTCGCGTTGTGCTGCTGCCCTGTGAGCCCGAACTCGACGCTGATTTTAGCATGCGAGGGTAAAGTTATTCAGTGTGCCCACACCGCCGAAATGTTTCAGACAGCGTTCTCGACCAGCTCAAGCAAAACGGTGGTGTCATCATGATCTGCTTCTTGCGAGAGTTGGTTGCCCCACCCAATGGCGGAGACCCAAGCTTGAGCGACGTCGTGGATCATATTATATACGCCGGAGAGAGGATCGGCTACGAACACGTCGGCATAGGCTCCGACTTTGATGGGATGCTCAAAGGACCAGATGGCCTGGACGAGGTTTCCCAGTACCCTCAGCTTGTCTCCGCGCTCGTAACGAGAGGTGTCTCCACACAAGATATTAAGAGAGTAATTGGATTGAACATTCTTCGGGTGCTAGACCAGGTCGATGCTGTGTCCAGTACGATAAGACTTAACAACAGTCAACTTCCGGAATGTGATAGCTTCCCGAGTTCCTGGACAGCTGAGGAACGCAACATGATGTATCAAGAAGGACTTCGGAGGCAAGAAACTGCCGGGAAGAAGTAGTCAAACAAATAGCAAGCAATGCTAATTACCTTAAAAGTAATGTTCATTGAAGGGCAATGGCTTTGCTAGGATAAACTGAGCCAGATTGATGCACTGTGGTCGGCGTTTTCGGCTTGTGACTGGCTTTGGATTCCGGCGGCGGATGCGAAGTAATTGACTGTGGAAGCAACTGAGGCTCTTAAAAGTATAGCGTGCTCTTCCACGCGCCGGATTGGGTACCAGTACATGACCATCGCCTTAACATCTTAAGAAGCTAACTCAATGATGGCCAACAAATGCCCTAATTCATAAGAGCTAATTAACAACTGTTGCTAATTGGAAAATATATAAAAGAGTAACTATACTTATTCTAATAGGGATTTTTAGTATAAATTTATATTACTTTTCCCTACTGAAGATAAAATTAAAAAACCCCAGTCAGCAATATACTAAACTAACAGAGGCTATATAAATACTTATAAAAAGAATAATAATAATACTAAACTATAGCTAAAATATTATAAAATTCTATTAATACTAATTAATCCTATACCAATGCATTTACAGTAGTATTAACTATTAAACAGTATAGCTTAATTTTAAATTATAATATTTTTAATTTTTTAGCTATTATAAATAAAGCTATAGATTATAAATACCTTAGTTAATAATAATAAAAATATTAAAAATAATATTTAAATTACTATATTTCTATTAGTTTATATTTTTTTATTTATTAAATTAATAAAAGGAATTTATAATAAAATTAATTAATTTATTAAAAATTTTACTTATATATCTTTTTAAAATTATTAAAATAAAATCTTTAATATACTTTACTTAATATTTAATTATTTATTTTATATAAAAAAAATAATATTTTTTAACTTTTATAAATAGTTATATATTAATATAAATATTAAAAATAGTAAAATATAAAGTTTTAGTAAAGAGTAATAATATTTTTATAAATTTATATATATAATAAACTATTTCTTTTAGGTATAAAGGATAAACTGCTTAAAAAAACTAAAGTTAGAATAATTATTATTATATTTTTAGTTATTAACTATTAATTAACTTAGTAAATCTATTTTTTTTTTTTATAAATAATTTAAGTTACTTTTTTTTACTTTATTTATTTTTAAAGCTTTAGTATACTTTCTTTACTATATTAATTATATCTTTATTATAAGTTTTTATTATAGTAGCTATTATATTTATTATAATTATAAATAATTTTTTATTACTTTTAGTTATTTTAACTATTTATAATTTTTAATTAACTGTTAAGTTATCTTTAGTTATTATAAAGATTCCTTACTTTTATATTATATTATTTTATTAAATTTTTAAAATATATAATTTATTTTTAAAGATTATTACTGCTT